GTTATAATTGGGATTTCTATTTTGTGAGTTGTTTCGTGACCTATTATAGTAATTGTTATTGTTTCCTTGATAATTAGATCTGTTGTAGGATTTTTTTTTTGATCTATTGTTTTGGTAACATTGATTTCTTTTGTTTGAATATCTTCTATTTCTTTTATTTGAGTAGTTTATATTTCTATTGTATGATGAATTACGTGATTTATCGTTTGAAAAGTGTCTATTCTTCGAATTTGAATGGAAACTGGTATCAAAAAATTCTTTACTGTTTGAATTCGATCGTGAATAGTTGTTTTTAAACTGGTTATTTTGGCTATTTGATCGACTATATCTATTTTGTGAGAAATTTCGTAAATTTCTTTGTTCTGGTGATCTACCTCTATAACTAGAGTTATAGGGTGATTGGTTTCTTGAGTAATTTGAATTATTTGGGAGTGGTTTACCAGAGCTGTTATTACTATGTATTTTTTTTTGTTTGGTAAATTTTGATCTTTTTTCATGTATTGATATAATGATTTATTTGGTTCTTTGTACGTTTGTGGTTTATTTTGATTATCTTGTTGTTTTTGTCTACATTCGGCAATGCTGTGTCCGTATCTTTGGCAATATTTACATCATTTCTTGAAAGATGGTTTATCTTTGAAATTGGGATTTTTCTCATATAGGTTCAAAATTTCAGTAAATTTTTCAGTTAGGTCTACATTTGAATCGTGTATGTTGTTTATATGTGTAGTATTTGTTTCGTTTCTATTAACATATTGTAGTTTGAGATTTTTTGTTTCTTCAAGTTTCATTGTGATCTCTGCTTGTTCTAGTTTGTCAACTAGTTTCCTAAAATCTAAATCTGGTTCTCGAATTGATGAGAGATGTGTGCTCTCTTTTTAATGGCTATTTTTCTTAATTGAGGTGTTAGAGTCATCATTAAAATTTCTGTCATTTTTGTGTTTTTATAATCATGAGTGTTCAGTGAGTATGCTTTTCGAACTAGTGTTTCGATTCTAAGTGCCAATTGTTTAATTGTTTCATTTGGTAGTCTGCGAATTTCATTGCATAAAACTCTTTGGTGTTGTTTATTTCTTTCAGAATCAAACATTTTTGAAAATTCTTGTGTAAATCTTTTCCAATCTGTTTTTATGTCTATTGGTAAAACTGAAAGTAATTTCTGGGCTGCGCCATCAAGTTTTGTTTGGATTAACGCTGTTCGTCTATGTATCCAATTTTGATGGAGTGGTGTATTAATTGGTCCAGGTCCGATATTTAAAATTAAATTTGCTGTGACTGCGTTTAAATAGTCTTCTACAGAATATTCAAGGTCTGTACCTGTGAATACCATTAATGGTTTATTTGATGTTATTGATGATCCACCCATCAGGTATGGATTCATAGTCATCTGTAATGATTCTGCGGCGTTTGGCAATTGTGAAAAATTGTTGGTTGATTTTTTGTTTTTTCATGTTGTTGTAGATAATATGGTAATGGTATTTCATTTTGCATTTGTGTTGGTTGATAATAGTCTGTATTTTCTGGGTTTTGTGAATAAAAATTATTATAATGAGATGCGTGATTTGGTCTAGGCTGTCGCATATGTTGTTCTCGTGTATATGGTTCAAAAATATCTGGTTGATTTACGTGATAAGAGTGGAGTCTTTGGTTTTGAATGTTTTGTTGATGGTTTTGGTCGTGAAAACCGTCATCATCTGATGAGAGGTAATTTGGTGTATAAAAAGGTGTTTTTTGTTTATCTTGATTTGGTCGTTTACTCTTTGGATGTATGATGAAATACTTTGCTGTGTAGTTGTTACAATTGTTTCAACTATTTCTTCATTTATAAAATGTGATGGTGTTTAAATATCTTGTTGTGTAAGATTTCTAGTTCCATTTAAGTTTTTTTGTTGTACAAGAGTTGAATTTAAACTATTGTTTTGTCTTCTATCAGGTAAAAATGAATTATAATTTAAAGGTGTTGCATCTGTTGTGAGTGGAATTACTTTTACATAATCTTGTGAATAGTTATTGCACTGATTGGTTGACTTGAGATCTCTATTGGAATGTTCAGGAATAATGGATGAGACCAGTCAGGGTCCCAAATGTAATCTGGTTGTTCAGCAATGACAGTGTCATCATTTGTACTTTGGGGTCTAAAAGTTTTTCTTGCTTGTGCAATTAAATCTATGTTGTGGCTAAAATAGTCAAATACAAACCATGCTAAGATTTTTTGTATATCGTGTTTGATATTTGGTGAAATTTCATTGTTTGAAAAACTTGCACGAATTGTGTTTAAAAATGCTGAGAATGCGGCAATATCATTTCTGACATTTGTGTGTCTTGATGTTTGAACCGGTGATGTGCTTTCGGTTTCTGTTCTTTCTAGTATAGATAAATAATTATATATTATTGCAAAAACATCGTTAGTGAAAAATGAGTTTGCTCTTTGAGAATTTTGATGTTGTATGTTTTTAATGTATTCTATGAAAACTTTTGAAAATTCTAAATCGACATCATCTGTTTGGATAACATATTTACCATGAAAATTACTTGCTGTATGCTGTACTGAGTTCTATGGTATAAATTCCATATTGTTGTGTCAAGTTACATATTCCTTTTATGTAATGATCGATAATTTGGTTTTTGAAATTTATTTCTGGAAATTCTGCTTTACATGGGCTGATTCCTTGTTCGAATACATTTGCAATCAAATTAGTACAAAATTGTTTTTGTCCTCTATCTTCAGTGAGTGAATTTATAATAAAAGGGAAAACAGAGTTTTCGTCTGGACTGTCATCACTTGGACTTTGGCTCATTTTTTCGTTTTATGACTGTTAGTGCGTAATGTTCAATGTGCCTGATTGGTTGGTTCCAACTGTATAAACGTACTGGTTTATTTTTATATATCTTTTTTTTTCTTCTTTTCCCTTGTTTTGATGAATGTGATGTAGCTTCTCAGTCTGAAAAGTATAATTGATCGTGAACTGGGTAGTTTTTATTTACTTTGTCTTTGAGTTTGCAAAGTGCATCTAAATTGCTGCTTTCTGATTTGGAGAGTGCGTTTCTACGCTTTGAAAATCTTTTTTGTGCGATTTGTCTTTGTTTACTTGAAGTTTTTCTTTTTATTGTTTGATGTCTTGTGCGAATATATCCAATTGTTTGTTTTGCGGTGTAATTACAAGATCGTATGATTCGTTATTTATTTCACAATTGGGTAGCACGATTGTTTGTTTATTTCCTAAATTGTTCAGTAACATAAGGCTTAGGATGAAGGGTGCAAGGTTGTTATTAGTGATTTTATTATCCTAGATTGTTAGTCCTTACGATTTTTTGGTTAGCCTAACTTGGGTCTTTTATGTAGGGTTGGAAAGAAAAGTATATATCGATTCCGAAGAATGATTGTTACTTTCTCGTGGCTATTCTAAGTTAAAGTGTTAACTTACTTAATCTTACTTAGGGGTAGTGATTGTGTTCAAGGGTTGGAGAATAGTAAATCAATCCACAGGGTTCAGGTATATTTAGGACACAGATAGTTCGTTAGGTACTATTTTAATACTTACTAAGATTCAAAAGTTAGCCTGGGTCAGTTAAGAGGGGGGATTAAGTGAAGGATGAATAAGCGAAGCTTTTCACTGTTTAGCTTAAATTGAATTTTTAGCGTGATTGAAAACTTTCCATTAGTCCTGGGTCTTAGAAAGGGTTGGGTAGTGAATTGACGTTTAAGGTCGTTAGACACTTATTTATTGGGTGGGGGAGAACAAAATTGTTCTAATTGATCCAAGGATAGGCCTTGATGATCAGGATATAAACTTTATGGTATAAAATGGATATAATTTAAGTATTTAGTGGAGATCCAAGGAAAGCCATGATGATCTAATTTAAGATTGAACAAGTTGAAATTGAATAAATGTAAATATCTGGATGAGTCGTTAAAGATAAATTTGATTTAATTGATAGAGAAATTTAGTGTTTTATGATATTAGTGGTTTAATGATTGCTGTTATGTTTAGGTGATGAAGCTGGAGATGCCAGGATGATTTATATATACTAACAGCTTATGATCATGTTAACTAATTTATATTTTTTATTTTCAATAAATATATTTTTCAGATATCTTTTTGAATTTTACTGCAGTTTTAGAGGAAACGATTTTTTGATTTTTTTTTTATAAATCGTTATTGTACAATAGTAAATTTTGGTTTAGCGCCTGAAATAATGATTGAAAATTTTTCTTCAAGGTTTCTATGTTTGCAAATGAAAATCTAAATTCATTGCTAGTAAAATTCTAAATGTAAAAGTTTGTTCTGGCTTTTACCGTACGACCATGAAACTTAATGGTAAGTTTCCTCGTAGTCGTAGATCGTCTCTTGTCCGAGGCCTTCTTCCAATGCCTGGTAGTTCTCGTATCGTACGGAATAGCAGTTCTGATCTATTGAGTCGTAGAGACATTTCAATTAGATTATTATCATGTGACATTTTTGAAAAAGTTTTTGTCTAATTCTAATCTTTCTGTTAGCTCTAAGCTAATTTGTTGTTTTTAAGGTCTTGTTCGAGACTTATGGTCGCACCAGATGAGTTATGTTTGAGGTGTAACTCATAGAGTAATTTCGGATAGGGTACACCGTCTGCTCGTCACGCTATCTTATTTTCGGCCGGATTGATTCGTGCATTGTCTTAGTATAATACCGATCATAATCTTACTCTTATATCTACTAGTCTCAGGGTCTTTAACTAGTCTCTGCTAGGCTCAATAGATCTACAGTATACTGGCTTATTGCGATTGCTAAAGGTCTCTTGGAGAGGTAACTAATTTCTAGGTTAAATTCAAATCTCTCTGGTGCTGAAATTACAAGTAATTTCAGCACTTACAAATAAGTGGGTTGTTAGTTAGATGGATCGTGATTGGTTAATATTAAAATTTTTATAGAGATAAAATATCCAATTTATAACCAATAATAAATATAGTTTATATCTGGTTCCACTTCGCATCAAAAACTGTAATCAAAACTAATTTGCAGCTGCTGAAGAAAGGACAAATGGCAGAGCGACATGAGATTACAGCCAAGCACTGCGAAAGATTTCTAATTCCCATCTTCAAAAAATGGGCCATAGACCTCGGCAAGCCCCTGAAGTTTATGGACATGCTCTGCTGCTATGGAAACGACACCCTAGCATACACCCATGCCTACTATCAAGAGGTGTGTTTTTTTCACCCACTAGTTTCTCAGAATTTCAAACCATTTCTTCTTGTTCTAGCTATTCATGGAGGAAAAATCAAATCAAACTTCTGTATGTTTTCCAGGATTTTGAGAAAACATGGGCCTCCGAGGCCACATGCTATCAGCTTAGCAAGCCCAGATCCTTCCCAGTTGAGACTCTTGGTGTAGATATAAGTGAACCGGCTCTTGAATTCGGAAAGAAGGCCGGAATATTCGACGAGATTCTAAAATTGGATCTAAATGCCCTCTCTGTATCTGAGAGCCATCTATTGAAAGCAAACTGCGAGAGCGCGAATATTATGCATATTAACTCTTCCGGTTACATCAATGAAGATGTAATCCATCAGATAATAGACTGGTTTGCAGCTGGAAAAGAGCCAGGGATGATTGCGTTTGCGCTCGTTTATCCGCTTGAGGGACGAGAGCGCATTTACCGATTAAGAACGCATTTATTGGAAAAATTTAAATTTATGGAATCAATTTCGATGATTCATAGAAACGTCACAGACTTCGAAAGACAGAAATTTGGACCTGAATATGGAATATGGAATCGGTTTAGTTATGATTTGTGGTACATGACCAGATTTTAATATACAATACCGGGTATATAGTAAGTATAAATCACACTGATCAATATATACCAGTTTCAAATTGGTTAATGTACAATCAATTTTAATGAACAATCAATTTAATATATAACCAAGTTTCTTAAAAATTCATCTTTTTGACAATTTTCGAACTAAATGTGTCTAAGGTCAGCCGTGCAACTGCCCGCAAGAAATTCTAGGAGCTGCAAATCCTCTTTTTATTCCAGTTTGCTGCAATTGAAGCTCGATTTCGTTGTTAGGAGTAATTTTTCTATATTGGATTTGACGATAGATTTTTGGCGAATCTATATCGAAAACTAAACAAGACTGCTCGTATCAGGGCGAAGCCCTGAATGTTCCGACTGCCTTTTAAAGTTTATGAAGCAGTAATAACATTAAAAAATTCACTGAAATAAAACAAAATGAAAATTTTTTTTTCTAAAGTTTGAAATTTTTTATGAAAATCATCAACCCACATGCCATATAAAGTACAAAAGGATAGATTTCGTTCCTTGTAACAAATCAATTATGGCAAATAAGCTTCCTTCAACCAATTTGGAACGATTTCTAAGACGGATTAAATCTCCGCTTACGTGTTAATAGCGCGAAATATATCGCGCGTTAATTGTCCCAAACTGGTCAAAATGGCCAAAATGGCAATCTTTAAACCCTCATAAATTTACGTAAAATGATCACAGGTGAAACATCTTTTCAAATTTGAGCTCAGGACAACAATACCTTTCGAATGATATTAAAAAATTTCGTCAGAAATGGCTAGTTAAAAAGTCGAAATTTGTCTGAAGAAAAAACAAAACCCACCCCGAGCACAAATATTCCGTTACTTTCGTATCGAGAGTCGGAACAATGACTGAACATATCGTTTTGAATAGACCAGAAAAGTGACTTTAAAAATTATAGGAAGCGTTAGCCAACATTTATGTATTTAAACAGATATCATTTAAACATAAATCCAGATTTTGACCCCAACACCTTGTTAAGATCAAAAAGAATCAAATCTAGCAATTAAGACATTATTTTGAGTTATTAGAGAGCGAAAGTTTAGGTTCGAATTATTTCATCACTGAAAAACCCAAATCAACTAAAAATGTATTTGTTTGAAAACTAAAATGGTTTTTATATCGAGCTGCTCAGAAAATGTAGGATCGATTTTAGCTCCTAAAACTCAATTTAAATCAATTTGGGTAGTATTTGGTAGCTATTACAGCCAATACAAATCTAAAAATTATTTTTTTTTGTTGTGCAAAAACTAATTTTGTAGCCGGAAGCAGTTTTATAGTTACTGACTTAATTTTTGCTCCAAAATATGGCAAAAACGTGTGCTCGAAAAAGTTGGCCGACTTGGTCCCATATACATCTATATTTTTACCGACCCGATCAATAAAAAACGTGAACGGCGAATAAAAAATTCGTGTATGAACAGTCTCTAACAGAGCAATTGGTTGCGAAGACACCAGAAAGGGGTAAGTTTAAAACCAACAAAACTGCTCTTATCAAGGCGAAGCACTGAATGTTTCGACTGCTTTTTAAGGTCTATGGAGCAGTTCCAACAAGAAAAAAATTAAATTTAATAAAAACAACTTTCTTTAATTTGAGATTTTTTGTGAAAATCATCCCCTCACACGCCATATAAAAAACAAATTGATAGTTTTGCTCCTAGTATTAAATCATTTACGGCAAATAAGCTTCCTTCAACCAGTTTGGAACGATTTTTAAGACGCAATAAATATCCGTTCATGCGTTAATAGCGCGTCAGAAATGGCTAGTTAAAAAGTCAAAAAATGTCCGAAGAAAAAAAACCAACCCGAGCACAATTATTCTGTTACTTTTGTTAGGAATGTCGCAACAACCACTTGTGGTAGGCTGTAGTCATGAAGTTTTACTATTCAAGCAGAGGCTATTTTTTCTTAGATCTTGTGCGTTTGTAATTTTTAACTAGCCATGTTTGACTGAATTTTTAGCTATAGTCAAAAGTTATTGTTGTCTTGAGCTTAGACTTGAAGAAAATATTTCGCCTGTGATTATTTTTGTAAAGGTATGGGTGTTTAAAGATTGCCATTTAGGCCAATCTTGGACAATTAACGCGAAATAAGTTATGTGTTATTAACGCTTAAGCGGAGATTTAATTCGTGTTAGAAATCGTTCCAAGTGTCTGACAAAAGCTTAACTGCCATAAATGATTTGTTACTAAAATCAAAATCTATCGCCTCGTACTTTACATGGCGTGTGGGGGAATAAGTTTTAAAAATCTCTTTTTTTTTCATTTCATTTCATTACATTTATTTTTCTAATGATATTACTGCTCCATAGGCCTTAAAAGGCATTCGTAACATTTAGGGCTTCGACCTGATACCAGCAGTCGTGTTTTATCATTTCATTTATTCCACAGTATAAGTTGATGGTCTGCTTGCCTCCGGACTGAGGGATGAATGTTCTGTCAATTATTGCAGTTCTGTCTAATGGGTTCGCAAACAGTTGAAAAAATTTTTTTGTTGATTAGAAAATGCAGGGAATTCAGGGATCACTGAATTTCTGTGGCCACAACCGTTTTATATGTTGCGCAGCAATGTACTGAAAGATGTTTTTCAGATCATTGTGGAAAAAGTTATTTGAGTGCGTTAAAAAGTCGCGCTCCTAGTCGATAAAGTAAAGTTGTCTTGCAGGAATCTTGCAAAATTCTTCCAAGATCCTTCAAGCTAAGAGCTTGAAGTTTTTGTCAAAAACAACGCGAGAAAAATAAGACGAAATATGGATATGATCAAGGTAGGTTGAAATTATTTTGAGAAAGAAAAAATATTCAAAATTTTACCCTCATCTTATTCACTTAAACAATGTTTTTATGTTAAAAAATTATATACTTTTAAAAACATTACATAACTTGAAAAAGTTTTTCAAATCCACACGTTTTCTGCTTTTTGTCGTCATACCGATTCCAAAAAAATCAAGTATTGGCCCTTTAGGGTAAAAAATGCAACAAAGAGCATAACCTGAAGTTGAAACGCTTTCGTATTTATCTTTACCAGGAGCGGATCTAGAAACTTCTCGAGGGAGGAGGGGGCGGGGAGTTCAAAAAAATGAAAATTTTGTCAACCTAATCTTTACAAAAACCCTAATTTGACCAAATTTTCTGCGCCGCAGGAAAAGTTTTGAAAAAAGGTCAAAAATGGTATTTTTAGCCTTTTTTTGCATGATTTCGGCACGCGCACCACCTTCAAAATTAGTTTAGATTGGTGCCGAATTTTGCAACATATTTCTAAGAGATGCATCGTCTTTCAACAAACTTTGCAAGATAAATCTCTTATGGTGCTGAAAACCATGTTTCCTTTTTTTTCAGTTTTCGTCTTTGCTTCTTCCGAAACTATCTGTTTTAGTAGTAAACGCACTCTGTTTTTTGGTAGTATATATTTGTTGCTTGCGAGAACCGTTTTTGTTTATTACAAATAAAGTAGCTATACAGCTATTTGAGTTATACAGCTCGCAAGAAGACCAAATAATGGTGGAATCAAGTGATTGACTCTTAATATTTTCGGGTCGCATCCCTGAGAGGGTTGGTAGGGTTGGTACGGGGTTGGTAGGGTTAGTAGGGGGTCGCATCCCTAAGAGGGGGATGGGCGTCCGAGCCCCCTCCCCCCTAAATCCGCTGCTGATCTTTACTTTGTTTCATTTTTCTATTTTTCTTTGCAAACTGTTTTTTCTTTTTTGAGAGATTACGGTATGAATTGAACATGAAAACTTGAATTGTAGCTAGTCTTAAGTTAAAAATTTTGTTGTAAAGAAACAATATAGCTTTTTGAGGCAGTCAACTAGCGGGTTGTATGTATATACAAGAAGCTAAAATTGCTTCTTTCTTCCTCGAACGATAATTCCTTTAGCGCGTAAAGCTGTTTTTTCTCACTAAAAGTTATGTCTTTTAAGATCCTACTTGAATCTGCAAATTTGATTTTCTTGCAAGATCCGTTAATGTGTTGTTCGAATTTTGCGAAAAATATCTAAGAGATGCATCGTCTTTCAAAGAACTTTGCAAGATAACTCTCTTATGGTGCTGAAAACCATGTTTCCTTTTTTTTTTCAGTTTTCGTCTTTGCTTGCTCCGAAACGATCTGTTAGGGTAGTAAACGCATTCTGTTTTTGTTCCGACTTTCGATACGAAAGTAACGGAATAATTGTGCTCGGGGTGGGTTTTTTTTTCTTCAGAAAAATTTCGACTTTTTAACTAGCCATTTTTGACGGAATTTTTTTTATCATTCAAAAAGTATTGTTGTCCTGAGCTTAAATTTGAAAATATATTTCACCTGTGATCATTTTACGTAAAGTTATGAGGGTTTAAAGATTGCCATTTTGGCCATTTTGACCAATTTGGGACAATTAACGCGCAATATAATTCGCTCTATTAACGCGTAAGCGGAGATTTAATCAGTTTTATAAATTTGTTTCAAATTAGTTGAACGAAGCTTAATTGCCATAATTGATTTGTTACAAGGAACGAAACCTATCCTTTTGTTCTTTATATGGCGTGTGGGGGGGATGATTTTCATAAAAACTTTCAAATTTTAGAAGAAAAAGATTCATTTTATTTAATTTCATTTAATTCTGATATGTTATTACTGCTCAATAAACCTTAAAAGGCAGTCGGAACATTCAGGGCTTCACCCTGATACGAGCAGTCTTTTTTGGTAGTACAAATTTGTTGCTTGCGAGAACCTTTTTTACATCTAATTTTATTTAAAAATACGTTTTTGTCAGCTAAAGTCACATACATATTTAACGAATTTTATCTTGGCTTAACTCCCTTTGATCGAAATTAGGTAAAGCTCAAAAAATCCATACCAGTTTTCTCGACACCGGAACCATTTTGAAACATTTTTAATGACACTCGAATAACGACTGGGAAGGCTTTAATTTGATATCTCACTCAACCCAATCCAATGGTTGTTTGCGGTTCCTTATTTTGCATGGAAAATGGAAAAAAAAAAATCAAAACAAACCCAAATAAAAAGTTCCTACCCATTTTAAATATCTCTCAATGGGATTTATCACTGAATTTGAAGTCATCCAAAGAAAATATGTCTTCTTAAAAATCAGTCTCTTCTGCCAAATCG